TAACAACCAGACAATACTAATTGTGATGACAGCTATGTTTGATGGAGGCCCTATATACTTTCTGTTAGCTAAGCTCTTTACATGCATTATCTTACTTAATCTTCATCACAGCTCTGTGAAGTAGATTCTGTAAATATACCAAGTATCTCATTTGTAAAACAATTCTATTTATTTTTAAATATGACTGTTGTTCAATTTGTATGTCTGCTTTTGACAAAATATCTGTTCCAGCTCTTTGCTCATTCTTTAATAGGGTTATTTGTGGGGTTTTGCTATTAGTGTTTGAGTTCATTATGTATTTTGAACATTAGCCCCCTTACCAAATACATGACTTGCAAATATTTTCTCTTCCTCTGCAGGTTTTATCTTGGTTTCATTGACTGTTTCCTTGGCTATGCAAAGCTTTTTAGTTTGATGCAATATAATTTATCTGTTGTTGTTCTTGTTTCATATGCTTTTGGGGTAATATCCAAAAATCATTTTCCAAACCAGTATCATAAAGATATTTTTCTCCTATGTTTACTTCTAGTATTTCTAGTTTCAGATCTTTCATTTAAAATTTTAATCCATTTTAGGGACCAGCAGATGGTGTAGCAGTTATGCCACTGAACTTCCACCATGGCCAACCACAATTTGAGTCCCAGATTCAGTGGCTTGATACTCACAACAGCAGGGTCATTCCCCCAGGGGGTGCCTTCTCACTTTTCCTCTCTCTCTATCTCTCTCTCTCTTTCTCTCTCTCTCTGAAAGCAAGCACACATGCCCTAAGGTAAAAACTTCTAACCCCCCCAAAAAAAATCCACTTTAAGTTCAGTTTTGTATACGATGTGATATGAGTCTAATTTTGTCCTTCTGCACATGAATTTCCCACATTTCTAACATTATTTATTGAAGAGGCTGTTTTTCTTTCCTTATATGTTCTTGGAAACTTTTTCTGAGCTTAATTTAACAAAAATACATAGATGTACTTCTGGGCTATCTATGGTATTCCATTGGTAGGTGTATTTATGTTTATGCCAGTCTCATCCTGATTTGCTTAATAAAACCATGTAATATATTTTAAAATTGGTTAGTGTAATGACCCAAGCTTTGTTTTTTGTTTTTTGCTCAGGATTGGTATGGTGGGACAACAGGTGGCATGGAATTAAGTTGCTAGACTTCCACATGGCCAACCATGGTTTGAGTCCCAAATCTGGCGACTTACTTTCTCACTTTCCCTCTCTCTCTCTGGGGTAATCACACATGGCCCATAGCAAATTTAATAATAATAATAATAAATCACACATGCCTCATAGCAAATTTAATAATAATAATAACAATAATAATAATAAATAATTTTGAAAAATAGATTGGTATGACTAGTCAGGGACTTTTGTGGTTCTATACAATTTTTTTTTTTTTGGAAAGGTTTTTGCTACAGGCCACGTGTGCTCTCCAGAAAGACGGAGAGACAGAAAGCAAGAAATCATTCCTCAGGGGTGATGGCTATGATGCAATCCTTTCTTCTACATTCTCCTCTCAGGATCTTGGGCACACACACATGCACCTGGCGTGAGTTTAAGCCACCAGGTCCAGGACTCGGACCACAGTCGACTACATGGGAGTCCAGTGACACAGCCATTACACTATCTGCTGGTCCCAAGTTCTGTATGAATTTTAAGAATGTTTTCTCTCTTTTATAAAAAAAAAAAGTATTTCTAATTGATAAGTAATTGTATATATTTGTGAGGTACAATGTAGGATTCAATACTTGTATACATTGTGGAATAATCAAATCAGGCAAATCAACACATCCATAACCTCAAAAATCCATCATATTTTTGTGGCTAGGACATTTACATATACATAATTATTAACTACAGTCAACTTGCTGAACAATAGACCAACAGAACTTATTGCTCTTGTCTACCTGAAACCCAGTCCCCTCTGACCAACGTCTTCGCTGTCCACATTGTCCCCCTCAACCCTGGCTCTTAGAACCACCACCCTACTCTCTACTACTATAAATTCAACCTTTTTTAGATTCCAAGTAAACTAAAACAGCATTTTTCTCTCTGAGCTGGCTTATTTCACATAAGGTAATATCCTCTAGGTTTACCATGTTGTTGCAAATGACAGAATTTCCTGATTTCTTATCATGTGAAATAAAACAGCATTTTTCTCTCTGAACTGACTTATGTCATATAAGGCAATATCCTCTAGGTTCACCAATGTTGTTGCAAATGACAGAATTTCTAGCTTTCTTGTGGCTCAATGGTATTAAAATTGAATAGTCACATGCAAAAGAATGGAAAATGAACCCTTCTTAAAGAATCAATTCAGAATAAGGAGTTCAAAAAAAGGCCTGAATCTGTAAAACTACTAGAAAATAAATCTTATAGAAAATGTTCTTATAGACAATGATTTCTCAAATATGACCCCAAAATAATAGAAAACAAAAGAAAAATAGACAAATGGGACTGCAACAAACTAAAAAAATTTTTGTGTAGCAAAGGAGACAACCAAGTGAGGAGACAACTCACAGATTAGGAGAAATATTTGTAAATCTTACATTGGATAAGGGGCTAATAGCTGAAATACACAAGGAACTCAAACATTCAATAACAAGAAAACAACCCTGTTTAGGAATGGGTAAAGATGGACCAGCCATGACAGCACAATGAGACATTGCTCCTCAGTACTCTGAGACCCAATTCACAGTCCATCCTAAAAAGTCAGGCATAATGCTGATGCCTGTAATCCTAACCACTTAGGAACCTGTGCCTAGAGGATGGAGAGCTCACAGCTGGTATGGGTAACAGGGCAAGACCCTGTCTGAAGGAGCTAGGCATGGAGGTACATGCCTGTCCAGCTATTCAGAAGGCTGAAGAAGGAGGTGTCATAACATAGCAAGATCCTTTCTAAAACACTATATAACACACACACACACACACACACACACACACACATACACTACACACACACACAAGCAAAGAACCTGAATAGATATTTCTCCAAAGAAGTATAAAACATGCTCGACGTCTCTAGTCATTAGAGAAATGCACATTAAAACGTCGATGGGAAGGACCAGCAAATGGTGTCATGATTATGTTGCTAGACCCACACAGTTGAACTGCAGTTCGAGTCCCTGACCAGGCGGCTTGAAACTCACACCAGGTGAGAGTATGTGCGTGCCCAAGCTCCTTAGAAGAGAATGGAGGAGAAGGGATTTCGGTGTGGCCATCCCCCCGAGGGGGTGATTCCTCATTTTCTGTCTCTATGTTTCGCTCTGTCTCTGTGGTGAGCACATGCACTCTATAGCAAAAATCTCTCTTAAAAAAAAATCTATGGGGAATAACCTCACGCCTGTTAAACTGGCTATGATCAAAGATGAAAGATAATTGTTGATGATGTAGAGAAAAGAGAAATTTTATATATTGGTGGTATGGCAAATTAATAAAGTCATTTTTAGAAAACAGTTCAGAAGTTTCTCAAAAACTAAAAATATAACTATCATATGATCCAAAACCTTACTTTTGCATATATATTCAAAGGAATTGAAGTCAGTATGTCAAAGAGAGGCTTGTAGTCCCATGGTCGCTGCAGCATTATTCATAACACCCAAGATATGAAACCAACTGAATGGACCATCAATGGATGAATACTTTTTTAGAATGTGGAATGTAAAATAATTTGAAACCAGGTTTAAAAAGTAAGCATCTAGTAAGCATCAGGGCCAAAACTTTAGTTTTTTCTAAATTCTTGGCTTGAGACTCAACCAAGATGAATTACATACATATTGAGTAGTAATTCAACTTGCTAACATGACATGAACTGGATGAGAAAGCTAGTAGAAGATTGAGTAGGAAAATTTAAAATGAATAAATTGCTTGATTCAATTCAACAATTTAATTAAAGTACATAAATTGAATTTGCATAAAAGGAAAGGTGCCTCTACACATGTACCTAATTTTTAAAAGATGGCATATGAAAATCCTAACTTAAAAAAACTAGGTAAATGATAATAATTATTTTGCATTACCTAAGAATTCATGTCATCAGAAGAGGATTCACCCAGAGTTTTTCCTTTCAAGAATTTAAGTAAATGCTAGTGACCATTAGATGTTTATAGAGAAACTAAAGGGGAGAAGGGGACAAGAATGCGTGGCTGAAGAGAAATAAAGATAAACATTGCTACAAGCTATTGAAAATTGAGAAAGTGCACATCTGAAGTTAAACCTGTACAAATAAAATTTGAAGTCTCCTCTTCAGGAACATCTGTATTTGAAGATCAAAGCAGGATTTACTCCATTTTCCAGCCATTATTTTATTAATGTAATTAATAATTACTTCAAGCGGGCCACTCCAAAAGCTTTCAAATAGCTCTCAGTAACACATAAACAACTTGAGAAAGAAAGTAAAATATTTCAGCAGGCTTAAATCTACAAAGAAAGAGTTTCCTGTGACACAATTCTGAAAAAGATTAAAAGGATGGAAATACAGCAGATGGATGAACACAGACTTCACCAAGGTGAATCATGCCTCTATGATGCACCTTAGGAAAAAGTCTTCTATCTTCATAGACACAGCACCTTTCTGCCGACAACTCCTGGCAAACTTTAGGTGGCTAATCCACAAGCTCACATTAGCATACAGCATGGGAAGCACATTTCCCCTTGGGCAAGGAGAGGACAATCTATCGCATGTGTCCCCTGTTTCTGTGAGTACTGCAGATTACAATTATGTTTTGATGTTAATCCAACTACTGCAAATTTCTTGTTGTGCAGCACACTGTGAACGTGTGAGTGACGGTATAAATCTTTTTAAATCGAATTGAGCACTACTGAAAAGCGCTGATGTTTTCAAATAGTGTTATAAGCCCTCTGAACAACAAGAATAACTCTCTAAATGAATCCACTTTCTATGGTGACCTGTTTGATATGAAAAAGACCAAGATAAAACCAAATTCTGCTATAAAATGTGCATTTGTGTTTGCCTTTTCCATTTTCTGAAATAATTACCTGTAAGGTTCTGATGTCCTCGTATGCAAACTGCGCGGTGGGGACGCCAAGATGGTTGATGAAATAATGGGCATCGCCTTGTATCTGTACAGAGCTGACGTTGGTCTCTGGGCACTGAGCTCTTCTGGTACAGGTGAAACGATTTTTCTGAAAAACATAATTTAAATTGTTAACATGTATTATGCTTCTGGAGTCACCCTTAAATCAGTGCTATGCAAAAATGTGGTCTATAGACCAGCAGTTTGGTTGTCTCAAGCTTGTTTGCAATGTGAATGCTGAGGCTCCAGCTCATCCTCCCTAACAGGAATGTTCCAGGGCAAAGCCCGGAATCTGTGTTGGAACATTTCACTGGGACTCTGCAACCAACTGAAACATGACCAACACTGGCCAAAGTCAAGCTTTAGTTGCTACAAAAGGATCTTTATCATAGTTTTATTTTGAATGGTAACAACTCTTCAAACTAAAAAAAAAAAAAAAAAAAAAAAAAAAAAAAATTAAAAGAATGCTGTCTCCAAGAAGTTTCAGGGTTGTTTGTAGTTTAATAAAGAAGTTTTCATAGCAGTAACACAATGCTCTGTGAGGCTGACCCATGGAGGAATGCTCTGGGTCAACGTCTGGAGCCTTCTCTGAATATGCCAGGCTCATGTGCATGCCTCTGGTCAGATGAATATGCCAGGCTCATGTGCGTGCCCATGGTCAGATGGATATGCCAGGCACATGTGCCTGCCCATGGTCAGAGACACCACAGCTGGGGGTGGATCACAGCATGAAGAGCCTGTTGGGGGCACCTGTCTCTCTTTTTCTCTCTGTCTCTCTGACTTATGGGGGTAAAACAATAAGATATATATCTAATTCCCATGCAGGGGACCAGCACATGGTGTAATGGTTACATCAACATACTCCTATGTGGTCAACAACAGTTCAATTCCTACACTCAGCAGCTTAAAACTCATGCTGGGTGTGTGCCCAGAATCCTAAGAAGAGAATGGAAAAGAAGGGATTGCGGTGTGGCCATCACCCCTGACGGGTGATTTCTCACTTTCTGCCTCTCTGTCTCTCAAGTGAACACATATGCCCTATAACAAAGATCTATTTTTAAAAAAAATTCCCATGCATTTAAAGTATGGTGTGGTAAAATATAAGTCCATTATTCTTAAAGTGTTTATCAAAAACTAGAGAAGGAATTTTCTCCATTTTTTTCCTTCAAAACATATTCCCAGATGTCTTAAGAGTATATGCCAACAATTGTAGTGAACCATACTGAACCAATTGCTAAGTTCAATCTCTGAGGAAATGAAAGATTATTATTTCTTTTTTATTAAAATTTATTTTTATTTAAATTTTTAATATATTAATTAATTAATTTATTTTAATTTGACCAGAGAGAGAGAGATACACACAGAAAGAGAGAGAGAGAGAGAGAGAAAGTAAGAAGCAATCCACCATGTCCAGGACTCAAACTGTGGTCGGTATCCAGCACCTTAAACACCACAACACCTGCTGGTCCCCTAAAGATTATTATTTCTTAAACTATGAGTTTTCTAACACAAAAATCAAATGACAGCCATGTTTAATAATAAAACAAAACATAAATTAAAACAATCAAACTAAGGGTTTTTTTAAAATCATAAATATTGATTTAAATGTCTTCTCCAATAAATTTTCCCCAATCTAAAATTGTTCTGAGATGTAGTTGCTGCATCTGTGCAGTATGGGAGATTACTAACCCCCTGGGCAATTGTTCTGAGGAAAACGGGTCAGTAAGTACAAGAATACTTCATGTAACATCAGGCAGAACCATGTACTCGATAATGAAGGCGTTGATGCTTCAATCCCTCATGTGTCTATGGAATGATACAATTTCAAAAACACTTTTAAATACTACCTATGGGGGCCTGGCAGGTGGTGTGGTGGTTAAGGTGCTAGACATTCCCACATGACTGACCAGGGTTCGAATCCTGGACCTGGTGGTTAGCATTCTCACTTTCCCACTCTCTCTCTGTGTCTCTCTCTGGTCCAATGAAAATAATAAGTGAGTAAGTAAATAAAGCTAAGTAATTTAAAAAATAAATAAATAGATAAATACTACCTATGAAATACCTTTAAAAATATTGCTTGAGGGACCAGCAGTTAACGTAATGGCTGTCGCTGGACTCCCACATGGGCGACCACAGGTCGAGTCCCGAACCCGGTGGCTTAAAACTCACACCAGGCACGTGTGCGTGCGTGCCCAAGAGCCCAAGAGGAGAATGGAGGAGAAGGGATTGTGACGTGGCCATCCCCCCTGGGGGGTGATTTCTCGCTTTCTGTCTCTCTGTCTCTCTCTGGCTGGCTGGCGAGTGCACGCGCCCTATAGTGAAAACTTCTCCAAAAAAAAAAAATATTGCTTGCTATTATGAAAATGAATTATTTCATCTTCTTTTCAGCTATAGTATTAGATATTTCAAACATATAATAATGGTTCAGTACTCATCCAATTTTTTAGAAACATCTGATAGACCTTTGCCAACAAGTTAAAATTAATTAAATGGAAACCCTGAGAGAGTGTTTATAAATGAGGCAGGATTCACCTTAATGTTATTTACAATTATCTTGGGTGACTAACTGCTCTGGAAATAGGAAATAAAAAAGGGTTTTACTACTCAGTCACCATACTGCTTTTTTCTGGTGACCTCAATGATTTGCTTCTTTTCAAAGTTTAATTTTCTAAAAGTGGAGGTAATCCTCTTTCACTCTCTGATATAGTCCTGAGGTTGGAGACTCCTGAAGATTTTACATCAACCTGGACAATTTAGGGAGCATCTTGAGATTCCCAAGAGAGCTAGTTTAAGTACGAGGTCATGAAAAAATAAATAAATAAATGAAAATATTTTATGTCCTGTTTAAAATTCCAAGTCTTTTTGAGAGCTCTAGGTGTTGAAAATTACTGCCGCTGAAGGGATTCTTTAACCAGAATAGATTTATTTTTCTAGTGGAAATTCAATGCTTTGGGTAGGTAAGACTTTCAGTAATGGCCAGTCCTAAAAGTCTCACACCCAGCCTGCCCCACGCATAACAATACACCAGCTGGAAGCACTGGGACCCAAGTTCAGGATTACATTCCTGAAAACACCTCTGCCTTCCTTTCCCTCCTCTGATTTACCCGACCTTACTCACTGGAGGGCAAGTCTACCTTTTCTCTAAAGGTTTGCTTTTGCCCTCTCTGTTGTGTATAAATTCCTTTTGAAAGCCAGCTAAGATGTAATAGACTGAGCATGATCTAGAGATGTTTTAAATTATATTTTGAAGGCTGCAATCTATTAATTCTATCTCTGGTGTTACAGATGGACTATTTATGGAGAGGGACTAGAATGTGGAAGAAAAAGATTGGGTGGTCCAAAGGACAGCTGGGGCCGACAGCTGGGAGAACTTGACTATCGAGCCTCAGGTAAGAGTCAAGTCAAAAGGGAGGGTGAAAGCTTCAAGAAAGTCAACGCAAGATTGGGAGCTTCAGGAACATCACGCTGTTCCCCAAGGAGTCCTCCTGGGAACTGCTCTTCACCCACTGCCTACTGAGCAGAAACTTCCTGAAAGACTACAGAGGTCTCACCTCATGAGCCCACAAATTTCTCATCCCAATCTCTCTCTCTCTCTCCACCTGGCCTCTTCTCTCTCTCTCAGGACTTCATTTTCTGCCTGCTACGTTCCTAATTCACCCATGGATGAAGCGAGGATGCACATCACCCTCCAGCCTACGATAGTTTTGTTCTTTTGTCCCTCACGAGCTGCGGAGTAAAATGAACAAAACGGAAACTTATTTGCAGATGGGACACTCCCCACCCCAGCCCCAATCATTTCACCTAGAGATTTCCCTTAAGAGGGAAACATTTCTGGCATGGAAACCCTGTTCTCTAAATCTTTACTATTCATTATTTTGAAATCTAGGCTAACTTCACAGACTTTAAGAGACCCTAAATCTATACCTAGTAGTGATGTGGATAGTTTTTCCACACAGCACTTTAGTGGATTATATTAGGTCCATATCAAGTAATGGACATTGATCTACTAAACCCCCATAAGCACTAATATCTGAGAAGGAAGTAGGACGAAATGTTAATTTTCTTCTTATTACTAGAAGTTAAGCACCGTGAGAGAGGGAAGGTTGGTAACAAATTTGTGCAGGTCAATTAATTTTTTAAATTTATTTACAAGGCTGAGTAAATTCACATTAAGAATTTCACCCAAGGAGTTCAAAATGCTCCATATTTAATGTTTAATAACAAGCATTTTTATTCCAGTTCATAAAGTGAGCAAGTTCAGGCAAAGACTGTGATTATGTCACCTGTTAATTTCTCACCGCTATGCTGTTGAAGACCTGAAATGAAATTACATCTCGTTCGTAAAAGTCCCTGTGTCCTTTGCAGCTTTTAAGCTGAAAGGCAAAACCTCATAGTAAATGATCATATAAGTGAAATACAAATAAATTAAATCAACATTTGCATTAGTTTAATAGTGAAGCCAAGCCACATTGACAAGTTTCTAAAGTATTTAAGAATTAGTTTATTAATTCAAACTTTTTTTCCCCATGCTCTGCTTTCCCCTGAGCACAAAAGCATTTTCTCTATGTGCATAGAGTCTAAGTTCATTATTAACTCAAACTGCAAAAATGGGGTAACAGTCAAAATAAAAAGTACCACATTCTTCACATTATAAGATATAATCACTTTTTAAAATTTCACTTTTTTATAATTTAACATTTTAAGTGTAACTTCAAATGTACAGAAACAATAACTCACTGATTTTTCTGATTTTAACTGTATAAAAATGTTTCAATTATGATAACAATGCCTATCATATTCAAAAAATGGTTTCTCGCTATAAGAATTATGATGACTAAGATTTTATGTTAACATTGTTGGGCCATAGGGGTCAGGTTTTTGGTCCAACATTTTTCCAAGGACAACTTGGATAAAGTTAACATTTGAAAGACTGAGTGAAGCAGATTTCCTTCCCTAACCAGTAATCCTCATTCAGTCCACTGAAGCCTTCACTACAATAAAAGACTGACACTCCCCCAAGTAAGGGGTTACTTCTACTGGTCAACTGCCTTGAGTGGGGCCCTTGGTTTTCTTCTTTTCTTTGTTTTAAGGACATTCAGTATCGGGACC